GATTTTCCAACACTTAGTATCCAACAAAAATTCCTTCATCCGATTTTGAATCAAATTTTCCTAAAGCAGATTTTTCATTGTTATGTATAAACATCTTGCAACCAAAAACATGTAAATGAGACAAATTAAGTGTTCTGCCTTTTAGCAATTCATAGGGTGTTTTATTTAAACAAGATCTCACATTCACCCTATTCAGAATATAACATGCAGTGCTAACCATCTCAGCCCAAAAATATTTATGAAGTGAATATTCTGTCAACATTACTCGGGAGGCTTCTATTAATTTTGTTTTTCCTTTCGACTACCCCATTCTGCTAAGGGGTTTTAGGTGCAGAAAAATTGTGATCAATTCATTTCTCCTTACAAAAATCCTCAAATTTTTATTTTCAAATTCTCCTCCATGATCATTTTGTATAGCCTTGATTTCACAGCCAAGTTTTCTTTGAATCCAAGTCGAAAAATTTCTAAATTCTTCAAATGATTCTCTTATGAAATAGAAATCTAACCCATGTAAATCTAGAGTAATCATCCACAATCACAAAGCCGTATACCTTCCCTCCTAGACTTATAGTTCAGAAACTTCAAAAAGTTCATCATAACTTAAGTCACATACCTCTTCTTGATCTGACTGATCAAGACTATCGGTCATTAAGCACAGATTAGTGACTTCCTCTTCCTTTTCTGTCTCTGACGAGTCCGAAGCTGAGTCCGCCCAAAAAGCTCTTTGGAATTTCTTCTTGCCCTTCTTTACAAAAAGTTTCATCTCAACCTTCTCCTTGCTAGGAGTGGCTTTGTGTTTTGGGCAATCTGTCTTTATATGTCCAGGTTTCCAGCACTCATAGCAAATAACATCATTCGAAACTTTTGCATTTTTATTAAATTTACCTCTATTCCATTGCTGACATCTCTTCTGCTTTCCCTTCAGAAAGCTTCTGAATTGTCTAGTCATTAATGCGATGTCGTCTTCATCCTCAGATTGTGAGTGTTCACTCTCAGACTCTTCCACTTTCAGTGCTATGTTCTTCTCCCTTCCTGGTTCACCTGCATCAATCTTTCTTTGGCTAACTCCTTGCTCGTAAGCAATTAGTGAACCAAAAAGATTGTCAATAGAGTAAATGTTTAGATCTTTAGACTCTGTAATTTTAACATTATAAGAAGTAGACAAACAACGAAGAATCTTATTAATCATTTCAGTATTCGTTAGTTCTCTTCCTAATGCATGTAAAGAGAAGACTATTTGTGTGAATCATATATACATATCAGAAATAGATTCATTAGCTTTCATACGAAACAGTTCATAATCATGCAACAAGATATTAAGTCTATATTGCTTAACCTCATTAGTTCCCTCATATGTTATACAAAGTCTATCCCATATGTCCTTTCCACTCTTGCAAGTAGAAACCCGCATGTAATCTTCTGATTTAAGTGCACAAAAGAAACTGTTCAAGCATTTAGCGTTTAGTTGTGTTAAGTCACGTTCTTCTATTGTCCAGTCCACAAAAGGTGTTTCAACTCTAACTCCGTCAACTAGTCTAGTTGGTTTAGTATACCCTTCCTGAACTAAGATCCACATACGATAATCAAGTGACTGTAAAAATGTAGACATGCGTGTTATCCAAAAATCAAAAGGAATATTGTCGAACAATGGAGGTCTAGTTATAGAATAACCCTCAGGTGTATTTCGGTTTCCAAATATAACCACTACGTTAATCAAAAAATAGTCTAAACTTATGATTTTGAAACTAAGCTCTGATACCACTTGTTGAAACTTGTTCAATATGAATTAAGTTTTTAAACCTAAGCTTATGTCCCAGCGGCTAACCAAAAGGGGTAAATTTGTAATTAAAATTTAATCCCTCTTTTAAAATTTAAAACCGAGAAAATTAACTTTAGTGAATTTTATAGAAAACGTTTTTCAACCACAATTTTGAAATAGTAAAACAGAAAAGTAAAAAACAGCGGAAAAATAAAAGACAAGAGATTTATAGTGGTTCGGTCAAATTTGACTTACATCTACTCCCCGGAGGTACCCTCCGAGTATTGCACTAATACCACTAGTGACTCTCCATTTGCACCCACAGCAAGGCAGAGAAGCCTTTACAAAACTCTCTTCCACTACTACCCGGTGCGGCAGAGAACCGTCGTCCTTTTACACTCTTCCTAGTGTTGACAGAGAACCGTCCGTCCTTTCACACTCTCCCGGTGTAAGCAGAGAACCCTTCATCCTTTCACACTCTCCTAGTGTAGGCAGAGAACCCTTCGTCCTTTCACACTCTCCTAGTGTGGGCAGAGAACCCTTCGGCTGTTCATACTCTCCAAGTGTCGGCAGAGACTCGGATCTCCATGACAGATCTTCTTCACGAGAAATCTAGAAGAAAGAGAGAAAAGAGTAAAGTAAACATAAATCAAAAGTAAAGATTCTTACCTTTGAACACCAAGTGAAGCCTTCACGCTCCAGTAGTAAGAATCCTCCTTCGAACACTCTCACACTCTCTCCTTGACTCTTCTTTCAATAGGCACGAATATCAGTAGGAAAAAAGATTAAGTGACAATCTAAATTGGACTATTTATATGAAAAACAAGAAAAATCGTCCAAAAACTGCAAATTTTCAAGTCAACACGAAGTTGATCGTCCCGTACGATCGTCGATCGTCCTGGACGATTTTACTTAAATGTGTGAAAACGAACCAAATGTATATTGGTACGAACTGTAATCGTACCCGAGCATCGTCCCGTACGAACTAGGTTCGTCTAGTACGAACAGTTATACCATAAGTCGGTTCCCAAAAAACTGCAGGACGTCGCCAAAATTTGAAGAGTCGGTTCACTTCGTCTTGACGAAATTTTTATGTAGAACAATTCGTCCTGGGATGAATTTGAGTTCGTATGGATGAAAATTTTCCAGAGAGCATTTCATCCTGGGACGATTAATCATTCATCCTGAACGATCAGAACTTAGAAAAATTTTCTTCAACTCCTGTTCATTCCATTGCTCTTTAGAGGAGATAACTAACTTGATCGTCCTGTACGAACTATATTCGTCCCGTACGATCAGTATAAATTTTTAAAGATCTCCTTAACTGTGTGTGTGTTTATTCACTCAATTACAATCACTCCCTCTCAAACTTAATTCAAAGAAAAGTAGAAGCTTCAATTCACAAAATCTCTCATGCTAAATTTGATTTGAAGTCTTCAGTAGTCTGGAGTTTGATTTTCCTGAAATGTTAGTTCACACAAGAGCAAAAACAAATCTTTCAAAAAGTGTTAGGAGATATCAATACATAAAACAATAATATTTGGAATCATCAAAACTATACAAGTTGCAAGAATGTAAAACATGCAAATAGCAACTCTCTTAACAAATTCTACATGTCACCAATATTCCGAACTGAGTTTACCCTGAGCAAATCTAGTATAAAAATGCCACGAAATCATACTTGGGACAGGTCTCCTCTGCATGACTCTCAAACCCACAAACTTAATCTAAACCCTTTTTTTAATGAAATCTGAAACATAAACATAAATTTTGGACGTAAAAGTCAATACCACTTAACCAAGTCATTCGTTTTACTAGACATCTAAAGTACTTCTAGCTGCTTAAAACTTGAATAGCATCGGGTCAACTGAGACCTGGCAACAACAACCACCTTAAATTGTGATTGGTAATTCCTTGGAGAAAGAAAACAAATGCAACCAGGGAATATATTGCCAAATTAATTCAAGTGCATTTTCGGCTAGGAATTGATGGTTAGAGGCATGACGTAATTTAGCTCTCAGGTATTTGGCTTAGAATAAGAATCTCAAAAATAAAATCATGGGCAGAAAGCAGATTCTATCAAAAACAAATTATTTGAATTTAATTGCAACTCTTATGCTTTATATTGACATTAAAGCATTTAGTGTCAGAAGTATTATATTATTATGCATTGAATGGTAGCGTTTGGAGTAAATATAAGGTTCAAACAGCCTCAGCATATGGAAAAATAAGTCCTTGCAGGACTCTATTGGCAAAATCAAAGACAGCAGTCACATCAAGATGGAAACATTAGCTTACATATGTTAATCCCATGAGCTTATACTTATGTTTAATGTTTTGATGATCACAAGTATAATTTGATAGAGCTAATGATGTGAATTAAGGTTAGTAATGGTATGAGCTAATGTACTTTAGGTAGAAGTTAAAAGGATAAATCATTAGCAAAATATATTCTAAAGCACTAGCATGACCCAAGAAAAGCCCATGGTCTAATTAGCTCGAGTTAGTCCTAGGGAAATCAAGATCAAAACTTCAAATTGCAAGATCGGTTTATTTATTTGTTGAGTCTTGTATTATTATATTATTAGGTGTTGAATATTTCATATTAGTTTAATCAAGCATTAAGGTAAAGTAGGAAAGTCATAACTAATTATACAATACAATCAACCAGTAACAAAATAATATCGTAATGTACATTAGGCTCAATTTCAAATTACATAAGCATATTTGTTAGAATTATAAGATACTTTAACTAATGAAAATTTATCCTAAGATCATATCGTATGATCTACATCGAACCATACTATATGTTTTAATTAAAAAAATTATTAACAATATAAATTTGCATTGATTGAGATTATTCAAATTTTGAGCTAATCATGATGTAAGATGGACATTACACTATATGATATGCTTGATTATTTAATCAAATCGATAGAATCAATTGTATTAATTAGGTTTACTCAAATTTTGAAGTAATTCTGCTATACAATATAGACCGTACTACATGATATGTTTCTATTTGAAAAATGATCAATCACATGGTATGGTTATGTCAACAGATAGTAAGTTTAGAATTGAACTAGATTGTATAATATGAACAACTAGTAACAAATATTTTTCTTAAAATTATATAGCGAAAGTAAATGAAACAAATAGATATATGATATCCTAAATGAAAATAACAATTGAAAAGGGCAGATATAGGTAGATCAATTTGCATTCTCCTTTCTTTGGTATACCTTTATTTTCAATCCTTTATTGCAAACACCTATTATGACAACCGACTATGCTTTGAAAGATAGATTGCATGTGGTGAATGATTTGAAATAATTTCCTGTGAAGAAAAGATGGCGATCTACTCAGAAAAATGATCACTTTGTAAAAATTGAATCTTGAATTAATCAACATGAATATGCCACATTATTTCTACAAAGAGAAAATTATTTGAGTTTTATATTGATTGAGAAAAAAATTTTTGCCTTGTATCAAATTAAATTTTTTTTTAGAAAAACCAATTTAGCACCTTCTAGGTTGTGCTATAACACATGAAATGGTAAACTAAAAAAATGCACATTATACAGCTAAAACAATCATGTAAATCTTTTGATTGATTTGGTTGGAAATAATTTCTAACCCATTCTAAATGTCTTCAAAGCATTCATGGCCACGCCCAGTAAATTTCCAACTCTAATGACCCAAACAACTTTAATCACAGACAGAGATGGAATGAGAATGAAATCAGCTGGTGTTTGTTTGAATTGGGTCGCAAATGTTATATTAGCCAATAACACATCTAAACAATACAAGTCTACAATAAAATAGTAGCACACATTAGATATGCATACCCATTCATGAAATATTGCCATCATGAAAGAGTGTAAGATAGAAGAAAAAGTTTATTTGGTTCCTAGTGGATAAAGTTGGACAAGAATTTGGTTTTGTTGGACTTGGATTAGGTAGAAATGTTGCCTCATCTATGACATCACGTGTCTTTAGCTGGTATGCCAAAGTTCAACCAGAGCATCATATACTGAAAAAACAAAATGAGTGAATTGGAGTAGCGTCTTCTACTGAGATTAGAAAGACCAAAATTAAAGGCATTCCGATAGAGTTCAGGTGATGGCTAAAGTAGAAGATAATAAAAAAATCAGCAAGGAGTGATATCCAACAATAAAATTCATCAAGCTCACCCCAACTAGAGAAATGATACTCTAGATCAAAACAACAGAGTAGAACATCGACCATCTTTGAACCTTTAGGATCAAAACTTTCATTCTTCGCTGCTCATCTATTGCTTCATTGTACTCTTAAAAAGGAGAATAAACTTTAAGATGGTTGATAAAAAACATGACAATTACTTGATGAAAATATTCCACTGTACAAATGCTAAAATACAGGATTCATCAAAAAGCTAAAAATCTAATTAGTAATGTTTTCATGAAACAAACTTTTTTAAAAATAGGGTTTTAAAAAATCCCTTGACTAATACCGTAAATATATCAAAAATATAATCTTGCTTAGTTAAAACCATCATTTTTAGGAACTTTATAAAGTAGTGTGCTCTTTTAGTGGATGAACATTGTAAGGTACTTTTTTCATCAAGAATATTACTTAGTACTGCAATATAACTTTTTTTCAAAATTATTTAGAAGGAGATATAATTAAATTAATTTTAATTTCATTTGACATTGTCAATTTATTTCTTGTTCATCTTACATTGATTATTTTCAAGACAATATATATTTTAAAAAATGTACTTGATATTTTTTGTTAATTATTAACCACATCTACTTTAATCATTTAACCAATTTACATATTGCAAAAAAATTATACCAGAGATTTATTTATCGCAACATTTCTGAAAGCAAAATTGATAGAAATTTTATCAAATAATCATTTGTTTTGCTCAATAGCATTGCACAAGACAAAATTTGACTTTTCCCTCTAAAATCTCTATGTTTTAACCCTGCCTTTTGACAACCAAATAATGTTGTTCCATTCTTGACCTAATCACACTAACCTTAGAATTGCCCTAGCTAAGACCTAAGTCCCTTCAGAGAACCTCCTTATCACCTCAATTAAAAAGGTGGGCAAAAACCCCTTAACAGGATTAGAGAATACTCTCAACTCTAGACCAAAGTCAATAATTCAACAAATTGTCCCATAGCCTAGTTTAATTCCACTCATTGGTCATTCTTATGCCCAAAGTCCAACCTTGAGCCCTTAGAAAATCTTGACCTTCCTTAGAACCACCAAACCCTGATAAGAATCCCCCTTTGAAAAATCTTTTCTTTGCTTTAGTTTTCTATAGGCCAACCAATGCAAACTTAAGCCAAAATTTCTCCTAGGCTATCCAAAGTTGTCTTCCCTTTCTAGCCACTCGACTCCATGCGGCTAGCTTCTAGGCATCCTAAAGCAATCTAATCAGTCCCCAACCAATCTTGAACATTGTTAGTGAGCTTCTTGAGTTGATCCTTAGCTAAATCCCACTTTGTTAGTAAGTCATCCCTTACAGCAGCTTGTCCTAAGAATTTTCTTCCTGTCAGCAACCTTTCTAGTCGATTCAACATTCATCTTTCTTCAGAAGTTAACCTAATTGATAAACTGTCTCAAAAAACTCACCTATTGTCAGTCACATACTATAGTTGACCATTAGCTGGCATTCCTATTTCCTAGGATATTGCTCCCCTAGGCTAACTATTCTGATCATACCTTAGCCGGCATTCCTCTTCCCGAAGAAGTTGCCTCCTTTGATGACCTATGCCAAGATACTCATTATTGATGACCCCTATTTCATAGGATGTTGCTGCTCAATGATTGTCGCAAGAACTTGCTTCTCATGATGACTTCTCCAAGAATTTTACTATCTTTAACAACTTAAGACCAACCTTTTTCAATATAACTCCTTACAACAACTTATCACAGGACCTCACCCTTTGTCAAGGGCTTTATCACCCCAGTTTTCTATGGAATCACCTCTTGTCCTAGGAACTTAGCCCTTGGTAGACATCCCCCTCAGCACTTTGTTGTACTCAATTTGAAAAGCCTCTTCTAATAAATGTCCACTAAGAACTCGCCCTCTCCCAATGCCTTGTCAATGCCCATTCTGAGGATATTGCTTCACGTCACGAGCTTCCTATGGTTAGTTTATAGATGACATGAAATTCATCTTTTGAAATCTCCCTTTTGTCAATGATTTATAGGTACCCTCTTTATAAAGTCATCCTGAATGGCTTCTTTTGTATGCTAACTAGTTCCTTACCTTAGAATCTACCTTGGAACCAAGGTGTTGGTCATCACTCGACAGAATTTGCACATGAAACCTAATAGTTAGGCATCTACACGTAGGTTCTCAAAATAACTTGAAATCTGCATATGCTCTTCGGATTTCTTCTAGGAACTACCTACTAACACCAAAGAAAGAAATAATCTTCAAGGGAAAATCACCCTGGGGTATGCTTTTGCTAATCATATTCTTTTTGTTGATAAAACTAGAGATAAGTTGAAGAAATACTTAAATTATGAAGGTCAACCTAAAAGTTTAAAGGTTTTTATTTGAGTATATCAAAAACCTAATACATTGAGTGAAATTTTAGTAGTAATAGATCTAGTGGTAGGATTATGACATTGGGTGATCAAGTCATAAATAGAGCAAGTTTTAGATATCTCAAGCCTACTCTTCCAAACGATGGTAAAATAGATAGAAATATTATTAGTAGAATTTAAGTTGGATGGTTAAAGTGGAGGAATGCATTGGGCCGATTGTTTGATAGAAAAAACCTCTCAAACTTATGAAAAAAATTTATGAGATGGCAATGAGACCTACAATGCTTTATGGCATGGAATTTTGACCACTAAAACAACAACAACAACAACAAGCCTTTATCCCACTACGTGGGGTCGGCTACATGAATCCTTTTCTCCATTGTGTCCTATTAAAAGTCAAATTTTCGTTTAAATCTAATAAAGAAAGGTTCCTAATATTTTCTAACCAAGTCTTTTTAGGTCTACCCCTACCTTTCTTAACATGATTTAATGCTTCTCTTTTGGTCACATAAAACGGCGGCCTTTCGATGACCTGGTTAGGAGAGTAGAGGTATTAGATTTAAAATTCTATTTTGACCACTAAAAGAGAAGCATTAAATCATGTTATGAGTTTCAGAGATAAGGATGCTCAGGTGAATGAGTGGCTTTACACTTAGCAAAATAGAACACAAAATGAGTATATATACATCAAATGGTTGAAGAAGCTCTAGTGGAAGATAAGATTAGAAAGAGTCTAATGAAGACATCCAACCGTGGAAAGTTTATCAGAGAAGGGGCCGAAGTCTACGGCTACGATTGGACAACTTTATTTCTGAGCATTTATTTGAATTGTTTTTTATTATGTATTTTTCCATTTTTACCCTCACTTTGAGGGAGTAGGATTATATGACCCTAGGAGGCACTTCTATCATTAGATATTTTATTATAAGTCATCTAATTATAGACCTCTCCCGCTCTTTGGAGAGGATGATGATTATTATGATGAAAATTTTTTGCACTTTGTTTCTTAGAGAGTTGTGAGAGTTCTTGTGAGAGTTTCAAGTCCCTTGGTGAGGGCAAAGCACTACCCATTAGCCGCATGAAGCAAACGGGCTCGTGATTTATCTCCACCTCCAATTCATCTTGCTATTTTTCCCCTAGACGTCAGCCCACTTCTTACCTAAGCCGCTGAGCCCTCCATAACCCATCCCTTGGTAGACTACCACCTTAAACCGCCACCCCCCCTTCCCTTCCTAAACCGTCGGCCACCCTTTCCTCCCATTGGCCGATTTCCCACCCTAACTACCGAACCCCCCTCCTAGCCCCCCGGCCACCCACCTCTCCACATTGCCTCCAAAATTGCAAACCAAGTAATCATTACTTTCCAAACATAGCACATCATAAATTTAGAAATATTTAAATTCAGATTTTAATTTACTTAAATATGAAATTTCTTTCTTAAATGAGATGAGTAATGTTAAAAAAAGTTCCCCATTCATGATAATTTGAATTTTAAATGGAGATTTGCGTTAAATCTACTTTTCTCGTTTAGTATTCTAAAATTGGCAACTCCATTAAATCCTCTAATTATTCCACCTCCCCTAGTCCTAGTCGCCCCCATCCCCTCTCTCCACAATTATATACTTTCGATGTTGAGTTTCGCAATCAACCCCTCCATCAAGGCTTGCCGCCCCTCCCCTCTATCCTTATTTTGGGGTCATTCAAATTTAAATTCCCCACAATCACTCCCCCCACTTAAAGCAGCCATTAAATCTCAATCAATCTCAATTGATTCTTATCTTAATTTGC